AAAAGAAGGAAATGGATGATTGAATGAATGAATAAGTGAACAAAGAACTCCTGGAAGTCACTTTGCAGCCCCATCTTGAAAAGGAGAGAACCTAAGCAGGAGACAGGTTAGATCCTTCCTTCCCTGACAGGCACTCTGGGTCCCCAGCGGAGCCAGAGTGTGGCCCCAGGTTTGCATAGAGTGTCTTGGGTCATAAGCTTTGCACACATGGAGGTGTCTGGGAGGGTTCAGAAGCAGATGTTGCTATCTCCCAATGATCCAGAGCCACCAGGCCTGGCATGGCCACCTCTCCAGCAGGTCAGCCAGACGCTGCCTGTCTGCTCCTCCCACAGGTCCTTGCAAACTTTCCAGCAAGAGAGAGGAAGGCTGCAGAGCCAGGGGCCTGCTGGGCGGCAGGGCAGGGCCGGGCTGGGCTTCCCTGGGCTGGGTGCGGCAGACTGTGGAACAGTTCTCAGGGGAAGTGAAGACAGACGGGGTTACTGACCCAGGGCACCTCGTGACTCTAAGACAGCCCTGCCCAGGAGTTTCCCTGGACCCCAGCTACCTGCTTGCCAAGTCTGTGTTTCTTATCTGCTCTTTGAAGCCAACTGTTGTGACTGCTCTGTGGTAAAATGGTTCAGAGGATGTCCAGCCCTCCCCGGAGCACTCACGGCTCCCCAGACCCCTGGGCTTGACTCCTCCCTGGAGCACTCACGGCTCCCCAGACCCCTGGGCTGGACTCCTCCCCAGAGCACTCATGGCTCCCCAGACCCCTGGGCTGGACTCCGCCTGGATGAGGACAGGGTTGCTGTCTCATGGCTGAAAGGATCACTAGGCACCTGATTTTAATTGCTCAAGGAGGAGAGAAACACTATCAGGATGTTCTGGACATTCAGGAAGGGGAAGGTCACTTGAGGGACTCTCAGGGAAAGCAGCGTGGAAGAGGTGGTCCTTTGGGCATCGAAAGGTGGACAGGGCTCCGAGGGCAGCCACGGCGCCACGGAGATGCGTGGTTGGGGGTGCGGTGTGGGCTGAGGCCACTAGCTTCTGCCTCTTTATACCGTGTGGCCTTTGGGCTCTGCTGGACATTTTCTTTTCTGTAAAGTGGGACCCTCCTGCTCCCTAGTGATGGGACTGTTTAAGGGGTGCGCAGTACAGCCCTCGCTGGTAGGCAGAAGGATCTGCCCTGTTGGCAAGCTGCGTCGCTGTGTGTGTGTGTGTGTGTGTTTAGAAGGAGACAGGAGCTCTGAACCAAGGCTCTCATGTGGCATCAGCATAGCCCCTGCCCCACCCTGGGCAGCCCAGGCCTGGCCAGCTGTGGTGTGCTGACCGGTGCCCCAGCAAGCGCCAGCACCCACGGCTCTCCAAGAGCAGTCTGAGATTCCCGGAGTGGGTGGGTGGCCAAGGGGTGACCAAAAGCTGCCTGCCCTGCGTCTAGCAGGCCTGGGTCCCCACTGAGGCCCAGGAGCCCCGTCCAGCTCTTCTCCTGGGTCTGGATCCCCAGCCCCCAACTTGGTGAGGTCAGGGCACATGTATTCCAGGAATGCAGGAGGCGGGCGGCTGGCCCCTTTGGATGGGTTTGGATAACCATGGGGGTAAATATTTGCCTTGCTGCTGGAGCCAGCTTTGGCCACCAAGGGAGGGCTGTCCCTAGGGTCATGTCAGGGGATGCACCTCCAGGTGGGTCTTCAATCTAAGGAAAGCCTTACCCTCTGGAGAATGTGTGGGGACAGTGGAGGGGCTCCCGGCCCTGGCCACAAGACATGCAGCCATTGGGTCCCTCGGTGAAGTGGAAACAGCTGGCCAGTCTAGCCCAGGGACGGAGGGTCAGTGTGGCAGAGCTGCTTCAGATGGGCTCAGCCGTGGGAGTGGCAGTTGGACCAGGATTGGCAGACCCCGTCGTCGGGAAGGTGGTTCTGATGTCCACGTGGCTGTTTATGACCTTGAGCAATTAGTTACTCACTTCCCCACATTTCCACAGTCCCCATCCCCCACACTCTTCCTGAATGGCCCCTGTGTCTGCACAGCCCACAGTCCCCGGGCACAAGGTACACAGGGAATGAGAAGAAGGAGTGGCCAGAGCAAGGGTGAGTGGCTAAGGAGCTGAGCCCTGAACTCTAGGCTCAGGGGCGCCATGGTGTCTGCCCAAAGGACCACCCTGGAGCCATCTGACCCCTCCCCCAGTAATGGTCTGCAGCTTCCTTAAGGTGGAGGAGCTGGAGGAGAGATGGATCCCCRTCCAGACCCAGCTGTACCCACCCTTGCCCCCTGGCCTCACCACACTGGCCAGGGCCAAGGCTCCGGCCCAGAATGTGGACTTACCCAGGTGTCTTCACCCCAAGCCTGCACCCAGTTCCTCCTAAGGGACTCTCGGAGGAGGTGGAGAGGTGAGGGCAGGTGGTGGGGGAGCTCATCTTCGTCCCGGGATGGTCCCCACCCTTCAGTGACCTCTGCCTTGTCCAAGATCTAGCCTGGTCATTCCTTGGGCATGACACCTCCTGCCTTGGAACCTCACTCAGGATCCTGTTCTGCAAAATGGGCATCCGTCCTGCCTGCCCTTCTCCCAGGGACTTCAGACACCCCCAGCCACCTCCTCCTCCACCAGGGGCCCCCTGCCCCCTGCCCAGTGAGAGTCCTGAGCAGAAGGCACCCATGAAACCCCTTCTGGACATTGGGGCCCAGGGGATGCCCACAACTCATCRTGGTCCCTGAGGCTGAGGCTGCACCTCTCCGTGGCTCAGAGGCCCTTGATTTAGGAAGAGAACAGCACCTTCCAGACCCGTGGTGTTTACCCTCTAGGCTGCTCCAGGGGACACACAGCATCTGCCCCTTCTCTCCCTGGTCTGGCTAGGTGGCCAAGCCCTCCCAGGTTGTGAGCCTCAGGGGAGAGCACCCGCAGGGCTGTGGGTGGGAGCACTCTATTACCTCCGTGTCTGGGCTCCTGAGTGTCCCCTTCCCTGGGGTGAGGGCCACCAGGGCCCCCGGGCTCTGAGCAGGTCTGCTGAACAGCTCCCAGGGCCGACAGGAGGAACAGAGCAGGGGCAGGGCAGAGCGCTCACCCACCTCTCCATGGTTCCCCCTGGMTCCTTGCTAACGAGGTGACCTTAACAAGGCAGAGTCTCTGGGCTCACTTGCCGGGTTCTACCTCACAACAGTTCTCTGAGGGTTAAAGGAAATATCTCAGGCCTAACCCACAACACAGACTCCATAATGTGAATCTCTTACTCCTGACTTTTCCAGATGGGAGGTCCAGTGCAGGCCCACAGTCCCTGACCAGGGCCTGTGGTTCGAATCCTCTACTATCACTGTGTGACTTGGGACAGGTTCCTTCCCCTCTCTGGTTTCACCTGCCCCACACCAAGGGACTGGAGCTGCAGGGGGCAGTGAGGCCCATGTGTGTGTACCATGAGCTGGAGAACCCTGAGTGGACAGGGATGGGCATTGTTCCTTGAGGCCTGGACCAGGTTCACTGAGTGAGAGACGGCTTTCCAACTCTGGCTTATGTCTCAGCTGCCGGAATGATGATCTTCTCTTTGTCAGCAGCTCAGCTGGCCAGCTYGCCTTCGGGGACACTGAGCTGTAGGAGGTAGGAAGGCAAGAGACTGATTCCTGCCCCAGCCAGTGACTTGCTGTGTGACCCTGGGACCCTCTCTAGGCCTCAGTCTCCTCCTCTGTGAAATGGGAAAATTGGGGCCGTGGAGTCCAAGAGTTATTTGTGTTCTTGACCCTGGGGCTTGGGGACCCAGTGCCCCATGAAGCCCAATGCTGACCCCTTTGAGGTAGTCCATGCCTTAGCTGGTGTGCAGCGGGTGCTGTGCCCTTTGTTACCGTAGACCATCTGTGCATCTCTCTGGGGGGACCCTAATCCCCTCCATAGTTGAGACAATGCAGAGAGGTTTAGGATATGTCCCAACCACACACCCGGTAAGAGGGTTGGATCTAATGGTTTTTATCACTGAGTCCAAACCTCAAACCCCAGACCTTGAAGCCAGGGCCTCCACCTCGCCCCGTGGCCTGTGTAGAATCCAGAGTGCTGTGGCCCCTGCATGGCCTCTCCTGCTGCTAGCCATGGCTTCCCTCTGAGACACACAGCCTTGCAGGTCCACAGTCACCGAGCCAGGCACTTTCCCAGGGGGACTCAGATTCAGGGCTCTGCATCCCACTGATGCCCACCAGCCAGGCCTCTGGGTCTCACTGTCCTGGGTTCCTGTGGGGATCCATGGGTGGAGGGGGTGGGTGGCATGTTGGTGGAGCATTCAGGGGGTGGGCCAACTGGACACCCTCCCAATAAGCCCAGGCTACCAGTAGGTCCTGCAGCTTCTCCCCACTTCCTGTGTCCTGAGACATCTAGGGCCATGCCCCTAAGATGCCCAGATGCTCCTATGGCTTCCCTCTACCATCTCTGTGATGGGCTCTGCCTCCCCATCCCCATTCACACCACCTCTCCCCCCATTCTCTGTATCCCTCCCACTCTCCAGTTCTCCACTGGACCAGGCTCCCTGCTCCTATCTCAGACTCTTCAAATATACTCTTCCCTACCTTGGAATGCTGTTCCCTGTAGCTTGACCTGCTTCTCCCTGACTCATCCTCAAATTCACTTCCTTAAAGAGACCACCCTGTATTTTGCTGAGTGGCCCCTGCATTTGTTCTTCCTGGCAGGCATGACTTTGAACTGTGTACTGTTTTATTCCCGGCTCACTGTCTGAGTCCCCACGAGGCTGGGGACCACAATCACAGCACCCAGTGCTCATTACATGTGTGTTGAGTGAATGAGTGATGTCACCCTGTCTCCCTGGATCCTCCCACAACCTTGAGAGAGAGACTGGGATTCCATCTGGACCCATGAGGAAGCTGGAAGGCAGGGAGCCCGGGAGCGTGTCCAGGTCATGCTCCTTCAAGTTCCGGTTGGTCAGAGGGGGCTGATGGGGCTTTCCTGGCCATGGACTTCCTGCAGGCAACAGCTCTTGCAGCATGAGTGCCCAGACCCTGGCACTGGACCCTGACCACCCCTCTCATTGCAGGAGGATGGAGCTGGAGTGAAGTGGAAGGGCTGCCAGCTGCTGACCAGCACGTGGGACACTGGTGACTTGCAGATCACAGAGGTAGGCCTGCAGCCTAGCTGTCCCGATTGGAGGACAGGTGCTGGCACCTTTGGGGACTTCAGCCCTCGTGGGTGGGATTGGGTGCTGATGATCTTTGCTGGAATATCATCAGGCCATCGTGAGTGGGGCCCTGGACCCGGCGCCCCAGGGTCTCTTGTCCTGGCTGTATCTCCATGACTGGGGATGGAATGGGGGTGCCTGGGGAGAAGGGCAGGCCTGGCATCCCCAGTCTCTGTCCCTGTGTACACTGCTCTGAACCTCCTGGGGCTCGGGCCCCCCCATGGAGAAACGAGGCAGCCACTCAGGAGGCCTGGGCGGCAGGGTGGCATGTGCCCTGGCATGGGTGCCCACCTGAACAGGCCAAAGGGGGCGCTGAAAATCCCGAGTCTAGCACTTGTCCACTGTGATCCTGGACGGCTACCCCGCACCTCGGGTTACCCGTCTGTCCGATGGGGAGGGGCCCCCACTGTCGTGGTGAGGGAACATCACACTGCRCAGAATGTTTTCAAGGGTGCAGGGACCCTCTCTCCCCCCACATGCCTCCCATCCCCTTCCTCCTGAGGACCCACCAACAGCAGGATAGACATGCACTGGTCACCTTGGTGATGAGGGGCTTGGGGTCCCTCAGGGGGCTCCTGAGAGTGGCTGAGCCTGCAAATAGGACTTAGGCCCTGGTCATCATCATGTCTCATCAGAGGGTGGCATTTCAGGGTTRATCACCGTTGGCCCTACGCCCAGGGGCAACCTGTGCGATCCCGGTTTGCTCTGCGGCTCTCAACCCAGAGCGGAGACGCCTTCACAGACATGCTTCCTTGGCCAGGACGCTTTATCCCAAGGTGTCATGACCCCAGGGATCAGCCTGGGAAAGCTGTGGCATGTAGGCATGTAGGCTTCACTCCACTGTGGCATGGAGGCTTCACTCGCTGCCCTCAGCTTCTCTGTGGAGCCKGGTGTTCACAGTGGACCCCAGGCAGGGCAGACCAGCTGGGCTCGGGCTCTGGAACCAGCGAGGCGGGCTTCATCCCCTTCCTGCTGCAGGAATGCCCGCTCCCTGCTCCTCAGCTCTCTGCTCTTGGGCAGGTTCCTTCTCTGCGGTTAGAGCCAGTTTCCCACCTGAAAACGCACTGTTTACGACACACTGTAGATGGCGCTGCTCCGAGGCCGCAGAGAAGCTGTGAATCCTTTCCAACATTACAGTCCCGTGAGCTTCRCCCCAGGCACTCTGCTCCCCACAAGAGTCCCTTGAGGAGGTTTGTTTAATGCCTCGTTCTCTAGAGGCTTGGTGTGGTGAAGGGACCCCTAGAGCTGTAAGTGGGGAGTGGGGATTTGAACCGCAGTCCGGGGGAGCTAACCGGCTCTTGGGGCTCTAGAGAGGTGGGGCCRCAGTTGCCTGGCCCTGTCCTTCCAGCTGGCTGCTCTCTGGAGCCAGGGGTGGCCCCCAYTGCAGATGGCAACTCCCCTCCCCCTTGGGGACTGCTGGCAATCCGGCACAGCCAGGGGAACCCACTGCTAATTGTCAGGTAACCTTTAAAATTCTCCTTCACGGTGGGTTCTCTTTTCGGATGTTTTTCAAGGTAATTCATTCCCTTTCCAGAAATTGCCAGTGGCGGAGCATTAGGCAGCTGGTAATTAATCATAGGAGCGGCTTCCAGTATTATTCTTTAAAAAAAGAAAAAGAAAAAGAAAACAAAGAACAGAAGCCTTGATGGGAAAAGAGAACCCCTCCAARGCAAGGTGGTAATCAATACTTCCGCCTGGGGTTGGGGGTGGCAGATGGGCAGCCTTCTCCATTTTGTCCCAGGGCTGGCAGATGGTCAGCGCCCACAGCAGCATGAGGTTCTGCTCTTGACCATGAGCTCCTTGCGTGACTCTGAGAAGTTGCTGCCTCTCTCTGGACTCAACTTTGCCATCTGTAAAATGGGTGAAGGGTGAGCCATAGACTAGAGAAGCATATTAACAGTTACCCTGGAGCCGTGCACACTGCTGATATTTTAATGAGTGCATAGATGGTTATCTGGGTCTCTGAGGAAGTGGTAAAGGCTACAGCTCTGTGATAATGTGGAGCAACCGTCAGGTTTGATGGGCCAGTGGTGTCACTCTCCAAACTAAAGAGGAAAGGACAGTCAGGCCCACTGGCCAGGAGAGCTTGGGCCACACAGTGGTAACCCTGCTGTTTCCTTGGCTTCTTCAAATGCAACTTTCCAGGAGTCTGAGCTGTCTGGAGATTTGTTTTGTTTTGTTTTGTTTTAAGATTCCTCTTGGGGAATAGTGAGTTCTCCCAGGGCACAAGCTGGAGTTGGGGTTGCTCAGGGCATCCAGAGGGCAGATAAGGGGCACGGAGCATCCTGAGTGCCAGGGCAAACATGAAGCTCCCTAGGACAGATGCCAGAGAGGCTAGACTGGCAGGGGGAAGTCCCTCCCTCCAAAGCTCTTTCCCCGAGGCCCCCAGGGAGGGCTGCAGGGGGCACTGTCCATGCAGGACACTGATACTGTCCTCCCTCCTTTGACTGGCCCCACTGCATGGGCACCAAGGCACTGAAGAGCATCAGGGGAAAGACCCAGGCTCCTTAACCAGGGGGTTCTCCAGCTGGGACTAGGATGGGATGGGGGGAAACAGAGGGCCCTTGTCTGGGAGTAGGGGCCTCAGACATGGGTCCGTGGAGGTCATGTTCAATGTGCCCTCCCCAATTCCCTTTTCCTCCCTAGAATCTGGGCCACAGTCTTTAGGAGGGAGCCGCAGCTGGGGCATGTTTTCCAAGCCCTCCCCTTGAAGCCCCCTCCTCTGCCTGGGAGCCAGGGGTGGGCCTGACACAGCCCAGCTTCCCCCTAGGAACTTCTCCCTCTGCCTCTACTGYGGGGCTCTGGACCTCCACCCAGACACCCAGGAGGGGCACCATGGCCCTAGTGGGAACTAGAGTAGGCTCCGGACTTGAACTTCAGCTGTGTGAGCCCATGTGCGCTGGGGTGAAAAGGTGTGAGGGTGAGGGTGTGGGGTTTCGGGGCCAGGTCCCAGGTCGGTTCAGGAACAGGGAAACCCCCAGGTCTGTGGAGACCCCGCAGAGGCAGYGCCTCATGAAGACCCTCACACCGACTCCCTACTCAGACTGGCTGGGTGGGCCCCTGACGAGGGTCAGCATGGGGGTCAAGGTGGGCTCCCAAGGGACCCCAGAGGAGATGGCATCCAGGCCTGAGTGCGCCGGCCTCCCTCCCTCCCACAGCGGACAGAACAGGCTTTGGGTGTCTCCAAGGTGAAGTCCGGATGGGCCCAGAAAGTGTCTGTGGGTGGGCCAGGTCTTCTAGGGGAGTCCTCCCGGCAGCCAGGCCCAACCTGGCCCTGTGGCTTCTGTCTGGGCCTTGGGCTGCAGGTGGTGCTGTGTGTATGTGTGTGTGTGTGTGTGTGTGTGTGTGTGTGTGTGTGTGTGCACACCTGGGCTCTCCTGGGTGCAGAGCCATAGTCCTGCCTCTCCCTGCTGTCTGTCTCCTCTTCCTCTCTGGCTGTCCTGCCCAGCAGCCCCCGTCTGCTGCTCCCTCCTCAGCACGCCCCCCTCTCTCTGGAATGCCTCCCTGAGCTCCAGGGCCTCCCCACCTCTGCTGCCCTTTCCCTCAGATCCTCTCCTGACCAGGCAGCCCGGTGGCAGGTCTGCTGTGTGTCACGCCCTCCGTCGTCTCYGGCATTGAGACCTCCCGGGCTCCCAACTCTGCCATGTTTATCCTGCAACACGCCGCTGCCTCCCTCGCTCCCTCCCTCCCTGCACTTGGAGGTGTCCCAGGCATCTCCCCACACCCCCGGGCCTTCAGAGCAGTGCTCTGTGTGTGGCCAGGTGGTGGGGGCACCAGGTGGCTCTGTCCCCTCCCTGGGGATCTTGACCTGCTCTTCAGGCCACTCGGGGTGGAGATGGATCTCGCAGCTCTGAGCGCAGGCCGAGAGCCCACCCACCCCAGGGCTGCGCACCTCTCGGGAAACAGAGGGGCCTGTGCCCACCAGCGGGACCGTTGGAAAGCTGGYGTTCCCCGCAGCATTAATGAAATCCCTGCTATAATTAGCAGTGAGGTGTGCAGGAGCTGGCCGCCTGGCGGGAGCCTGTGTATGCTCATGAATAAATAAATTGTCCTCTCCTGAGGGAAGAGGGAAATGGAGGGTGGGCTCCCAGGGAAATGCCTGCCTGGGGGTTCTCAGTCACCCGGACGCCCTCTGAGGAGCTCTCTCCATCCCAGTCCCTGGTCAGCATCTTCCTGGAAGTGCCCACTATGTGCCTGGCCACTCAGCCTAGTATGGGAAGTTGCCACCATCTGGCCACCACCTCCATTCCCAGCCACGTCACATGCCAGCCTCCACCAGCGCCCTGGGGTTGCAGGGACCCTGCCTACCTGCTGCACTCCACAGCCCTCCCACCCCCAGCAACCTCCCGCCCACCGCATGCTCTCCCCGTCCCACCTCTGCCCCTGGGGTCCCTGACACCTGCTCCCTCCCATTCTCTCCTCTACTCCAGGCCCTTCCTCCTGGCGCTTTTGGAGCCCTTGAAATTACGCATGGGGTGGGCCGCTGTGTTGTTTCTTATTGATCACGTATGGGGGTGATGATGTATTAGATACGCAGGGAAGATGATTTACATTCTATTTGCCATTCTGAGTCTTGGAAATCTGGTGTGTGTTCAACACGTCCGCATCTCTTCTTTGTTCATCCACCACCGGGCCTTCCGAGTGCCTGGTAGATGGCACAGGCTGGCAGGGAACAGCTTCCTCACTTTGCAGTGGGGAAACTGAGGCCCAGAAGAGGGTGTGTTGCAGAGCACAAGCTCTCTCTGTAGGCGAGGCTGCCGCCGTGCTCCAGCACAGAGCCAGGCACTGAGGCCATAAAGACAGATGGAGGCAGGCGGAACTGTGCCTGGACCCCACACGATTGACCCTCCCTGTGAACAGGGCTTGCAGTGAGCTTAGGCTAGCCCCCACCTCATCCCCAGTAGCCCCAGTCCAGGGCAGCCCCCCACACTGTGCCGTCC